CTTCAAAATGATTACAACACCATTACCAGGCAAACATGCCTCTGCCAGCCACTATCGTCCTCAGCGAGAAGCTGAGTCTCCAGGGACCAGAAAGAGAAATGTCTTTTAATTTCAAAGTGAAACATTTAATTGTCCCTCGCTGAAACATTTGCCGAATCACATTTTTGCATCATTTCATTACAATTGCTTTTTTTCAGCGTCTTCAAACAATTCATAAATGGGTGTTGAATGACATTGTTCAGCGTGGTCTGTGCTCTGCTTTTATCTCTTTGTTGCCGGTGAATGTATACAGTAAAAGCGTGGCATGTATGAAGTTCCCCTGGGAGGGACTTTTTAATTTGTGGATTCTGACCCGCGTGCCATTTGCTCAAGGCCACGAGAGCTGGCTGCTGACTCTAAACACTTGATACTAAAATTAGTCTGGACACTTTAATACAAAATGAGAGACATCTGGTAGGTGGATTTCTTTTATTATTATTGGGGAAAAGGGGGGGGGGGGTGACAGTCTAGACTTTGTAAACATGGTTTTGGAAGAACATTGCTCTGCTTGCCACATTGCAGACTTTTTTTTCAAATGACAACGAAAGAAAAAGAGAAAAATTATTCATGCATGCTTGATTGTTTTCATCCCAGATGTGCAGCGGAAAGCAGACAAGTGCTGTTAAATATTTGGGATTATTTTCAGGCGAAGATCAAACAAAAAACAGGGTCAAAAGATTTGCCTTTAGATCAAAATGCGTTTGTCGTGAGGCTGGAATCTTTTAACACCCACCTGCAAAGATGCATAGGGGTTAGCTGACGTCTGAGACTTCTTTGAGTCACAGGAGCAAAGAACCCACCGCCGGAGCTAGAGCATGAGAAGAGCGCCTCCCTGTGGCTGAGAGAAAACATGATGTGGAAGAGTCAAAGAGAGGGAGAGACACAATCTGTGTCAGAGCTTTAGGGAAAAATACCAGAGTCAACTAATTCTAGTTTAGTGTACCATTAATGATAGTAAGCTTGTTTGACCCTATGATTGATGCTCTCCCTTGACTAACTCAGCTTTTTATTTTAGATTTTCTCACTTGCCTTGTCTTAGGGTAATAACAGCAGCTATGAGTCATCATTGGGTGTCAAGCTCAAATGATCCAAAAACAAACAATCGTAGCGGCAAACAATATTTATTATCATTTGTCACTCTATAAAGATACCTTCCATCCACATTCTGTACTGAAACTTTCACAAATTTCACCAAAATAAAATTTGCCAAGAAAGCTGCTAATTATTTAAAGTTGAGCTTTCTTCCTTATTTGTCAAAGAAAGAGAGGTTGCTGGTAACACTGAGCAGCTGCTTGATATTCGAAGGTGCGAGCGGCTTGTTCCCATTTGACCAGGAGGAGCTGGAGCTGATTTGAAGACAAGAAGAGTAGAGGTCTTTAATTACAGCCCTCTCCGTGGCTCCGGGCACCATTGGCCTTACTTCACAATTAAGACCAGCAGTTAGTGCAGAAACCAATAGACAGAGGACCCACATCAAAACACCCGTCCTGACAATGCGACAGCTCCCCATTAAATTAAATACCATATATTAGAGACATATATATGAGTATGCTGTCAAGCTCCTCCATTTTTCAACCTGCACGGGGTTACTTTATAACACGTGACCCTATGATGCATTCAGATAATGCCAGTGGTCCGGCTTTAGTGTTCCCAAAAGCAACGTTAAAACCCTCCCAAAATATGTGGCAGCAGTGCCTGCAGTCAACACTCCAGAGCCCCGATGGCCTTCTGCAACAGTAATGCATTTGGACAGATGGGTGAGGCGAGTGCCGATGTGCCTAACTACGCATTTTACAGCTCAACTATTAAAGAGTTGAGCTGTTTACACACCAACAGTCAGAATACCTGTCTTCGGGCCAGTTTAATTATCCGGGCCCTTCTGTTATTTTCTGCCGCTTTGTTGTCTCTCAGCTTTTTTTGCACGAGGCATGAGAGATTTGTTTGCAACTTCATTAAGATACGGTGGTGGTAGCGGTTTGCCGAAAAAAAAAAAAAAAGAAATTCGCCCAAGTATCTCACACTCTTTTCTCCCCCGACCTCCCCCATACAAACACAGATACAGCGCGCATCCGTTTACACTCCCATTTTCTTATAAAGTCATTTAAAGTGCCAATTCTTCTTTTTTTTTTAAATGCCCTGTGATGCCTGCCCTTTGAAATCTCTTGGGGTTTTTAGGCAAGGGGGGGAGGAAACGCATATGCCCCCAGTCCCTGCGATTCATCCTGAGACGTTTGATTAGTTTATGAGTGCTTATAGAGAGGGAAAGGGGTTTGCATTATAATTTTGTTTCATGAATTCCTTCATATGTTCATCTTCAACTGCACGTTCAAATAAAGCATTAATCAAAGCGAAGAGAGCGGAGAGGGCATTCAGCCAGCAGAGCCTCAGTCTCAGGGCCTCAGTGAGCCGGTGGATGTGGCGTTGAGAGACGGCAGGAAGCAGTGGTTTTTAATTATCTGGACTACGTACAGGATGCCGTTTTTTGATTGTTTTAATGAGGCAGCTGGCCTATTGTCTCCCCTTAATTCCCCCATTGTTTTTAGAATATGTCATAGTTCTTTATTCTTTTATCAGGTGCTCTGCAGGAGGATTTAGACAATAGCCTTCATTCCAACTGCATTGGCCACTGCACAAAGGCAGCTCACGCTGCCGACAGTTCGGAGGCAAACAAGTGCAAATCGTAAGCTGCACTTTTCTCGGCCTTTTCCCCAGTTTCCAAACTTAACGCTTTTGGACATTCGCTCTAATGCTTGACCCCCCCTCCCCCTTCCCCCACCCCGTCCATACCATCATACCATTGTCAGTAGCAGCTCACCTGTGTCCCTGCGATTTGAATCACCTGTCTTGAGAAAAACGTTGTCGGAGGAAAATAGCCGTGACAAATCTCTCAAAAGAACTCCCTTCCGTCGAGTATTTGTCTTCCGTCTGACGCCTTCACAGATCCCAGAGCCTTGAATCTCCATATGTGCGTGTTTCTGCTCGCCGGCACCTGTCCATTAAATGCAGATGCGGACGACACATTTCAGAGCGCAGACAGAGTGTAGGAATTTCGTCCGCAATAGGTGCTGTGAGCAAATTGGACGCTGTTTTCTCGTGTTAAACGAGGCTCCTGCAGCCTGCCCCCCCCGTCAGCTCCCAGCCCCTGACAGGCAGAGTGCTGCCTCAGTCTTTGCTTAAACTGGGACACGCAGTCCCCCTAAAAGTCACTTCCGCACAGCAGATGGATCTGGAGCTTTCTTGGCTGAGTGGATGCAATCTGAGTTCATATTTCATCACACCCCGTACGAACTGCTCTATTTCCGCTGAGGAGAGCGCACAGCATCTTTGATTTAGATCGAGCCCAACGACGCCGGATTCGTATCTGAGAGTTAAAGCCTGGTTCATAATTCTCTTTGTAAGCTGAGCGTGACTGAACTACTGTAAGAGATCCTCAGAGAGGAGAGAAAACTTTTGTGGCCGGGGTGGCGATATGCACTCTCGTCGCTATTGTCGGTGGCAGTTTGGATCTACCTTGATGGTAACTTCAGCAGACAGTGGAAAGGAGTTTTGTTATTTTAATTAGGAGATAAAAATTCAAAGGGTCTCTCCAGGCAGCGTGGTGGTATGACAGAATCCGAACGGTGAAGCAGATTGGACGACAGATAGGCCTCCGCTCTTTAAAGAGGAGCGCACGAGCTCGCTTACACACACGGAAACTTAGAAATGTAGCATTTTTTAACACCGGGTCACTTTTTGACACATTTGTGCCGCTCTAATTTCTAGCAGATCTGAAAAGGTTTTAATCAGGACACGGTGTTTTTAATTGGTACAACGAGGCCAATTTGTTAACAATGTATGTTATGTAATTCATTTTAGCGGGGAGTCTTTATCCCAGTGACCAGTTTTCTGTTCCCAATAAAAAAGAAACGTCAAATGCTTTCACACAGAGCCTCGTTCATGCAACTTTATCAGCCTAGAGGGCTGCTTTAAACCTGGTGATTCACTTTTTTTTTTGTTGCAAACATGAGTAATCAGAGCTCCACATGAGCGGGGGCTTTTCTAGCAGTGTCCCCCCACGTCCACACCTCTCCGCAGGACCCTCTTTATTCCACATCAGCCAGGCCTCTCATCAGGTCCCCTCTCAGCCTGACACTCCGCTGGCATGTTTGCACATCTTTGAAAGCCAACAGCGGGCTTTAATTAATTGTCCGGCTTCCCTCAGAAACAATGTCCTAATTCTGCCATTTAGCGGGAACATATCATAGTTTGTTGTTATCTCCCGGGCCAGATTTCTGTAAATAGTCATATTAAAAACTTTAATCTCTTCAATGGAAAATTAAGTGCAGCTGAAAAGCCTGTCATGTGCTGAGATAAATTTTTATCTAAGCTAAAACCTTCACTCTCTGCCTTCACCCCCCCCTCCCTCTTCCTCTGACTTAATGAATATGTTCAGAAGATTTCAGAGGAATGCTTAATCCCGAAACACAACAATCTAATAACGTTGAGGACCTGTCTCAGTGTTGCCGCTGACAGCAGCACTCTGGGCTGCCGGAGACTCTGCCTCCAGATATCAGCCTCAGAAGTCTTGAAAGGCGTTTGAGTGACAGTTAAAAGCGGGGCACGGTGTCTTTAAAGGGTGTATTCACCCGGTTCTAAAAAGTTCCCCCTCTCAGCCAGAAAAAAAAAAAAAAACTACAAAGAACCAGTCAGATGTAGTGTTCTCTGAATACTTACTGACAGGACAGGGAGAAAATAACAACAATTTGGTAAACGTATTGCTTTTTTTTTTTTAAATTGAAATAACAATTGCTGTTATTGTATCCAGTTGTCTGTAAATCTGAGGCTTTTAGAATAAAAAAAAACAGACCGTGACAGTTTTGCGCGTCTAAAAAAATGCTTGATCGTGTGAACAATGGAATAAGATAAACTTTCTTCTCTCTAGCAATAAGAATTTAGACGTTTTTGTTTTTTTTTTCCCATCCAGGTGGCCAGCTGTGGTGCACCACCACCAAGAACATGATGGAGGGCGAGGAGCTGGTGGCCTTCGCGGTGGACTTCGACTCGCGCCTGCAGGCGGTCAACCACATGTCTCTGAGCGAGGGCATGTACCCGGCCAGGCTTCTGGACAGCATCCAGCTCCTGCCCCAGCAGGCCGCCATGGCCTCCATCCTCCCCACCGCCATCGTCAACAGTGAGTGGATCCTCTCCTTCCCCGCCGTTCCACAGCAGTCGCCCGCTTAACCGGCGCCGGCGTCTCCGGGGCGGGCGGAGATTAACCTCCCGATGAGTCTTTGCGCGGGAGATAAGAACCGTCGACCTTCAGGTTTTGGGTTGAGAGGCTCAAACCGGTGTGTCCGTTGCAAAGCACACGCCTCATGCAAATAGCGCGTTTGTTTACTCTAGCGAGGGCTATCTGGGTTCAGCTTAACAGAGAGGCTTCTGTAAGCAGATGGTCCAGTGTTTCTTCTCTACCCTTGAGAGAGGGCAACCGACCCAGTGGTAGCACGCACGGCGGTAGGCTACAGCCCAGGATTTGGCGGAAAAGCCTTTTTTTTAATGCAGGCTTTGGGGGTCTAGTCCTGGAGAAGCACGGCAGAAGAGAAGCTTATCTCCACGTTTTTTTACCTACATATTTTAACGCGTAGATTTGGACTGTTTCCTGATACAGTACCCTCATGCTGCATCTCTGCTCGAGGTTTCTGCCCGTTAAAAGGAAGTTTTTCCTTGCCTGTGTCGCCTAGTGCTTGCTCATGGTGGGAATTGTTGGGTTTCTGTAATTAACTTCAGAGTAGGGTCTGACCTGCTCTGTTTGGAAAGGGCTGTGAGACAACTATTGTTGTGATGTGGCGCTATATAAATAAAATTGAATTTAATTGTATTGAATCTCCCTTGTGTCCCTCCAGAGGACATCTTCCCCTGTAAGGCGTGTGGGATCTGGTTCCGGAGCGAGAGGAACCTGCAGGCCCACCTCATGTACTACTGCAGCGGGCGGCAGAGGGAGCCGGAGACGGTAGTGGAGGACAGCGACGGCGGACCCCATCAAACACCCAGCCTCTGCCCGTTCCCCCAGTGCAACAAGAGCTTCTCTGGAGCCAGGGCCCTGGAAATGCACCTAAGCACCTCACACAGTGGTGAGTGCTAATCTCATAGCACACTGGAATTAGATCCTTTTGTTTTGCACAAAAAATATCCTAGTTTTTTTACATGATGGCCCTTCCAGATGGTTACTTTACATTTTAAAGGGAAGGTGCTCAGGAAAAAGTACACTAGAACAGATTGTTATATATATATTTTGAGAAATATACATATCCTGCTGTCAGCTACCGTGGTTGACAGTTTATCCTTGAGCAGAAATAACAAATCTAGTGGATAGGAATAAGCTTGGCATAATGCATGAGCATTTGATGCCTTCTACCGTCAACTCAAAAGGAGAAGTGGGAGGTGAGATTCTGAGCGTTTCTCCCTTTTATCTCCCTCACAGGTGTCAAAATGGAAGAGAGCCTCCCTCCTGGCACCAGCTTGAAATGCACAATCTGTAACTACACGGCGGATTCTCTTATTACATTCCAGCATCACATCATGTCTCACCTGTCACAGGCGGCCTTCAGATGCAATCACTGCCATATCAGCTTCCAGAGCCACAGGGAACTCTCGCAGCATCAGGACTTACACGGGCACGGCGGCAAACTTCACAGGGAGAGCGACGGCGCCGAGCACTCCCCCAGGGGGCCCGAGGAGAGCCTCCAGCAGCAGCAGCAGCAGCAGCAGCAGGCCCGCGCCGATCTGGCCAGCAGGAAGGAGGCGCTGCTGGGGAGTCCCAAAGGGGCCCTCGGCAAGGAGACCAGCACAGACGGAGAGGCCGACAAGGCCGAGAAGAAACCCACGCTGTCCACTCAGAAGGGAGAGGCCCACCCGGGCAGCAAAGCCAGTTTTTCCTACACCAGGATCAAGTCGGAGCCCTCCAGCCCACGCCTGGCCTCCTCCCCGGTGCAGCACAACATGCCCACGTTCCCCATGGGCCCCTTCTTGTCCCAGTTCGCTTTCTCCCAAGACATTTCGGTGGTCCCGCAGGCGTCGGAGATCCTGGCCAAAATGTCGGAGCTGGTCCATCGGAGGCTGCGCCACGGCGGGAACAGCTACCCCCCGGTCATCTACAGCCCGCTCATGCCCAAAGGGGCCACCTGTTTCGAATGCAACATCACCTTCAGCAACCTGGACAACTACCTGGTCCATAAAAAGCACTACTGCAACAGCCGCTGGCAGCACATGGCCAAGTCACCCGACTTTTCCGCCCTCTCCGATAAGGTCCCCGAGGCGGTCAGCCCCAACAGCGGCCACAGCTCCGTCAGCATGCTGACCGGCTGCCACCCGGCAGAATCCGACGGCCACCTCCTGCAGTCCGGCTGCCTGAACTCCAACGTGCTGGACATGATCAGCGCCGGCACCAAAGGGCCCGACAAGGACCTCCCCGGCCAGGTGAAGAAGGTGTCCACCCCGCCCGGCGCGGAGGAGCGGCTCAACGGCAAGCAGCTGGAGGGGAAGAGCCCCACGGCGGGGTTAGCGGAAACCGACAACGACCCCACCAAGACCACCTGCGACGCCTGCAACATCACCTTCAGTCGCCACGAGACCTACATGGTCCACAAGCAGTACTACTGCGCCACGCGCCACGACCCGCCCATGAAGCGCATGTCCGCCAACAAGGTGCCCTCCATGCAGAGGACCATGAGGACCCGCAAGCGCAGGAAGATGTACGAGATGTGTCTCCCGGACCAGGACCACCAGAGAGCCCCCATGGGTCAGCCGGGGTTCCTGGGAGTGCCCCCCATGAACCCGTGCACGTCCCAGGAGGCCGCCGAGAGCCTGGCCGACCGCTTCCACCCCCGCTGCGACCTCTTCCCGGGCATGGTCCCCAAACACCTGGAGGCCTCCCTGACGGTCAGCAAGCCCGTCCCCGCCCCCAAATGCGAGCAGCAGGAGCTGGACGCGCCCATCGACCTCAGCAAAAAGTGCTCGCCGCTCTCCGACAAGTCGTGCAGCTCCCCCAAAAGACTCCTGGACTATCACGAATGCGCGGTGTGCAAGATCAGTTTTAACAAGGTGGAGAACTACCTGGCGCACAAACAGAACTTTTGCCCCGCCACGGCCGCCGCCGCTGCCGCTGCCGCCGCCGCCCAACAGCAGCAACAACACAACGACAGCGTTCCCCTGGAGCCCAACATGTTCCCAGATGTGAAGAGCGAAGGAAACAACAACCCCGACGAGGGTTACGACAAGAGCCCCGGCAAAGGGGAGAAGAACGGCCCCGGGAAGGCGATGCAGCAGAACGGAGGCCTGTTCCCGCCTCACCTGGGGCCGGCGCCAGGACTCAAGCCGTTCACAGAGCCCCCGCTCGTCCCGGCAAAGGACGAGAGCAAGAACATGTTCCTGCCCCACTGCCTTTATCCCGGAGCAATAAAGAAGGCGAAAGGGGCAGAACAAATATCGCCGTACTTTGGGATAAAGCCCACCGATTACGTGACCGGGGGACCGGCCATGCAGGGAGAGCCAGGTGACCAGGAGCAGGGAATTAACGGCGGGGGAGGGGGAGGAGGAGAGACGGGGACGGCCAGGGAACCGTGTCCCCAGCCGGCCGCCAACGGCTGCCCCAACCCCGGCAAAGACCCTCTCCCCCTCCTGCCCAAAAACCGCAGCATGGTCATCGTCAACGGGGGCCACAAGCCGGAGGAGAACCAGCCCCAGCCGGACAGCCAGCCCCCCAACCCCTCCCCCACATGGGCCGCCGAAAACCAGGCCGACTCCAACGAGAACATGTCCCCCGGCTCCAAGTCTCCGAGCGAGGAGGCGGCGCCGGCGGCCAACAAAGGCATCAACGGTTCGGGAAGCGGCAAATACTGCCGCCTCTGCGACATCCAGTTCAACAACCTATCAAACTTTATCACCCATAAGAAGTTTTACTGTTCGTCACACGCCGCGGAGCACGTAAAATGAACCGAGGGGAAACGAGACGTTCTTCTCCCTCACAGACCTTTTTCCTCCTGACTCTGACTTCCTTTTTTTCCCCCCTTTGTTTTGGTACACTGTCGTGTCTGGAATAGTGCATCATGCAGTGCGAAATGCTGCCTGTGGACAATCAAGAAGCTTCTTCCTTCATTGTTTTAAGACTTAAAAATGCAAAACTATTGGTTAAAAAAAAAAAAGGAAAAGAAAAACGAATTAAGAATAATATCGGTGCCACGTTCACATTAATTTATTTTACAATCAGTATTATTAGGAGTAGTGATCTTAATTTAAATTCAAAATGAAATTTATATCAGAGTTGTTTGTAATGTTATTGTATAGTCATTCTTGTGTAGCACACATTGTTTACACTGTAATGTAGGCTCAATGAAACAATAGACAATACTAAAACGAGATGCATTTTAGACACAAAAATAGCTACTGAGGCACTTGTGTATTCTTATTTGCTGTACCAGTTTCCTTATGCTCAAAATGTCTCTTGCAGATTGCTACTACAGACTTTTCAGCCTTAAAAATCACCGTTTGGGGGTGATTACAAGGCATAAACTTGCATCATACATTTTGGCATATATACATGGCTTTGCATACATATGTGGCTGTTTGTCCCTGTCTTTTTTCTTCAATTCAGATGTGGATGTTTTCATGAGGATGACAACATTCTTGTATAGTACTCGTATTTCTGTTCAATGATACACTTCGGTCTCCCTTTTGAAATTTGCTCTCAGTGCAATACTTTGTAAATGAGGGAACGTTACTGAAAGCAGTATTATGAAATGGGGACTGTGCATATAATTATTTGTAACCCCATAAGGGAAAAAAAAAAGAATCTGTACAAGAATTAAGTTTATTGCAGACGAACAAGCTGGGTGGGAGGTCAGTGGGGATACTGATGTAAAATGATCATTCCAATGTCCTGATTATGGGAGAAAATGTTTCTTAAAACGTTGTTGCTATGCATGTATATGGATGGAATTAAATTCCAGATCTGTTGGAAATTTTTATTTTGATGTGGTGTCATAATTAAACTTAAATCCTCAGGATAAACCAATGGCCTCCGGTCTTTATTTCACACATTTGAAAAAACGCAGACGTTTTTTTTTTCCTTTGCATTCACAACTGTGAATGTCTGGTCCTGATGTAACAGAAATTTATGCATGTAACAAATGAAGGTGATGCAACGAAGACAGAAGAAGTGAATGTACGTTTGCTTGTGGCAGAACATAAAAACAAAGCTAAATGAGATAAAAGCATAGAGTTGTTTGAGCAATGTGTGTGTATGTATGTCTGTGTGTGCGTGCGTGTGTGTGTGTGGCCTTTACAATGATAAGGAATAATGTATTCATTTCTGGCACTGGCCAATCAGGTGGAGAGTCTGAAATAACAACTTGAAAGATAAGATTAATCTAAGACAGAAAATGTTTCATCACACTGAATACCCCCAAGTTATCTTCAATTAAAAAGCTTCCAACGAAGCAGAGCTGAGCAAAAATCTGTTCTGGAATTGACTTCTTGATGAACCTTAGCAGACATGTAGACAATCTCTACAAATTGCCGCACAGGAAGGCGGAGAAGATAAGTTGGAATATTTGATTGAATATTTAAAACATATTCAAATTGTTTTCCGGCCTTGTCTGGGTTTGACGTCCGTTTTGGCCACAGGTCACTCGCTCTGCTGTTTGGGCTGTCGCTGGTGGACGATCCTCCTCAGGTGCTGGACGATGGCAGATGGCTTCTTGTAGATCATTCGCCGGTCGGCCTCTTTTATGTGAACGTGATTGGCTGATGGGTAGGATTCCTTCAGAAACCTCTTTTGAAGTCGCGCTACCATCTGGTGCAGGAGGGGGGGGGGGGGGTTTGATTAACCAACGTTTCTGGAGTATTGTTCAGCCACTGTCAACAGTGGACCCACTCACTTGGTTCAGTTGTTCTGGCATTTGCTGGTCAAAGGACTCTCCGGTCAGCATGCTCACCGATATCTTGCTGGAGAGGGGTTTAAACATCGTGATGTCCCTTTAAAAAACACAAAACATGACAATAACTTGAGTGACCTGCCAACAGTGTGCCTAACTCAACCTGCAAATAAAGAGAACCGCTAAAATAAATAGTGTTTCGACGTGTGTGTGTGTGTGTGTGTGTGTGACGTACCGGACCTGAGCTGCACTTTCATTCATGAAGTAGTGCTCATCCACAGCACCGCTCAGGTGGGCGGGGTTACTCAGCAGATACTTCTAGAAGAAACAGAGGCAGAGAAAAGATACAAAAATCCATTATTTGTAGCCTATAGTACAAGGAAACCTATTTCTATTCACATTTTTTGTTCAATTTAAAGTAACTAAATTAAGGATGCTTAATAAAAAAAAAAAAAAGGAATCCTTTATATTTTGTGATCATCATTTTACCTTTTTTAAAGATTGTTTTGGAAGGTTCGTAATTGAGTGAAATGACAGAGAAATAGCTACACCTGTTCCAAAAAAGTCTGAATTCCTGCTAGAAATAGAAATATAAACCAATATTATCTTAAATCAATATTTACTTAAAATATAACATATGGAACATATCGAAAGTGACAATGATCAATATTAGCTGGACTTGAATTGATAGCAATGTGTTTTTAAAAAAGGATGGAGGGAGGGGTAACAAAAGGTTAGAAAAAGTAGTAGCAGTCAAAAGAAACTTGTCAGTAGCGTGATTGGATATTAAAAAGAGCATCTTAAGGAACAAAAGTCTCTCATCAGTAAAGATGGGGGAGGTTTACCAGTCTGCATTAACTGAAGTAATCATTTCAGATTTTGGAGACAGTGATCAGCGGATGTTCGTGATTTTGACACCCTCCAGTTGCCTGGTATTTGATTCAGGCTTTTCCATGAAGCTCTAGCCGGCACGGCAGAAGCCAAATATGGACACAATCTCCGAACTCTAAACCTTTGAGCTAAAAAAGCTGATTTAAAAAGGACTGATTCTGTCCTGCAGACGGAAATCTCAATCTGAAATTCTTCTTGGGAAATGTTGGACATTCTGTCCTCGGGATGAGAGGGACAGTTCAGCTGGTTATCATCTGAGAAAGCCCCATCCATTCTGAAAGGTGTATAGACATTCCAAAGGAATGTATCCTCCCTTTTAGAACACTTTTTAAGGGAACTACATGTACTGCAATCAAAAACATTTGACTCCTCATGAAAAACCGAACAGACGAAGGAAGACCCAGCATTATGGAGCAGCTTGAATCCTTTATCAGACTAAATGTTTTCAAAATGATCTATTTAGGAGATCTGTACATTAGTGTGTTTTGTTATTTTCTTTAAACTATGTAACTTTGTACTGCACTTGGCTAATAACACTTTAAAAAGTTGTTTTTTCATTCAGTTGCATTCAAGTTGGAGATGAAGTATCCTTTATATATCCATATTAATTGGCCATCCTTTTCTACCTATTTCTTACCTTGTCCTTTAGAAAAAAAATGTTTTCTAACAATTACCTGTACACAGCACTTCCCTTTATCAAAGAGATAGAGAGAAAATCAAAGAGATAACTGTCCCACAATCCTTTGTGATAGCAACACATACCATAAATAAAGAAGCATGACTCAAGAGGGGGGAATAAAAGAAGCCTTTCTTTTGCGGTTACCTCTAAATGGCAAAAACGAAAAATATGTCATTGCCTGTGAACACATCTGTTTTTTTCTTTTCTAAATGGGCACAAATTTCTCCGACAATTTCCTCTGTGATGCTTTCAACAAGGTCACGAAAAAACACGATAATAGATGAAGAAAAAGGAAGGTTTCTATTTTCTGACTGGCTCCTTAAAGGCCAAAATTCGCTGTTCTTGTTGGTGGAGATGCTTCTTTATGACTTGCATGCTTGACCACCCTGTTCCGTTACCGGTCAAACATGGGACAGCGTAACGTCCGTCCTCACTGAAGTGAGGCCCGGATGATCATCTACAGGTGCCTGAAGATTCTTGAAAGAGTCATTCATTCCCGACAGTTATTTGAGCAACTCTAATAAAAGATTTATGGAGTTAGTGGACTGGCAGACGTGTTAATTAACCTATTCCACACTCACAGCGGGCCACTCTCTTGGCTGACTCCAAAACCATATGACTACACGCGATACCGACCGGGTTGGCTCTACTTTGTGTGCACCGTAAAATGAATGGAAAACCAACCAAAAAAAAGAAGAGGAAAAAAATAAACTAATTATTCATCTGCAACCAATTCGGCCTCTTACAAAACGGGAAGGACGACATCTGAACAGCTGTGCTCTGTGCTAATGGAAATGAATGTAAAACTGAACATATCATTGCCACGACATCGTGTCACAACTCCTTTCATGCCATGCAAAAATCTGCGACTTTGTCGGGCTCATTCTTAGGCAGTCAAGGCAGTGTCAGGCTCTTTCAGCGAGGCGGGAACGCCGATATCGCGTCGGAAATCTCCCTCTGACCCCGGAGCCGGGAGAGTTCACCGCGCTGCCGAATAGAACCCTCCAACTGAGCAGAATTTCCCTTTAACAGCATCAATCGTGCGTGTGCGATTAGGCCCCGATAGCTTTGGTGCTGTTAACATTGTAGCAAACAATTCTGCTCCAGTTCAATTAGGCAGTGGTTACAGAACATGCCCTTGAGAAATGGACTGCATGCTCTATTGAGCCTGGTCTGCCTGTGAGTGAATGAATGTGTGTGTGTGTTGGTGTGTGTGTGTGTGTGTGTGTGCATTATAACCTTCACTAGCCTGTCGACAAAACCTTTTTTTCTGTCCTTGGAGAATTCAAGCACAATGATGTCCTTATCTCCTTGGCAACAACTGTAATACTTGAAAAGCTGAAATGGGTCCCTCATCACGGCCGCCATCAAATCGTGGGTGGCTGGCAGCCGAGAACAAGGCGTCTTAACGAACTGTTTGCATTCATCCCCAAGCAGACATCATCATATCATGCAGTTGCAGGGGGGGAACGGGGAAGGGGGGGCTGGGATGTTAGCTAAATGTTCCTCAGTGTGCAGACAGAGCCTTAAAGGGTGTTTTTTTGTTTTTTTCTTAAATAAGCAAATTGAGTGCAAAACTGTCCTCCCTGAAATCTTTTTTTTAAACCGTCTCAGCCCTGAATCCATCCAACGGGACTGGAAGGAGGTTTGGAGCATTCGGCCGTGTTTTTGAAGATATTGGTTGTTGTTTCTTCATAGGAATCCATTACTGCTTCTCTGTCCGGGATGTTTTCGGTGAGAGGTGAAAATTGACTACAGGAATCGGTGACAGGCAGAAGAGTCACTACTGTATGCCTGGAGAATGGAAAAAAAAAAAAATCCCTCCCCTGGAGGAAAAAACCTAATCTGCAGAACACAGCAAAAACACAAAGCTTTTATTAAACAGCCCTCTTCCTCACAAACCGTCTGACCTGTCAGAAACAACGCAGCCGTCGAGTCGGCTCCGGGAAAGCAGTCAAATATTCGTTTATATATAGATATATGTGTTTTTTTGTTGTTTTTTTTATGTTCGCCGGGTGGCAAATGGTGCCAGCTTCACAGTCTTTGACGCCATGAAGACAAACGCCTGTGCGGTCATCACACAGGAGCATCTCTGCCATTATCCTCCCACTAGCACCATCCTGTGGCTGCACGGGAACCATGGATCTAATTCTGATTTCTAATTTTAATTGCGTTGAAAAAAAAAAAACATTCAAGCAGTGGAGAAAACCCGGAGTTAATTCTAACTGCCTGTTTCTTTCTCGTTACAGGAGCAGCTCTGAGGACATGGCGGTTCGGAGTGACCGGACTGACCTGGCGCTGGACGGCCTCCTCCGAGACGTTCTCGCCTTGTATGGCCGGTTGGATCGCCCCCATGATGATCAGCATGCGGCTCAGCCCTGTGGCCGCCGAAAACTGCCGGGCTTGGAGGGACGGCAGCAGCTTGCCATACCTGGAAAGAAACAAAAAAAAACACACACATGACTCGAGAAGATAAACTAACAGCACAAACAGCAAAAAGGTTTGTTGCCAAACTAGTTTATCACCCACGCTGCTTTGAGCCCTTTTTGGTAGTTTAGTTTGTCCTAAAATGCAACGTTTTTTTTAGATTCCCGTTCACATTTGAGGATTTAAATGGACATTAACTGCATTATACTGATATACAAGCACTGACTGTGGTCTGTAGTCAAACACCAGTATACAAAGTTCATCCTGAATGATTATTTCAGTTCATCCTCTCCTCCAACCAGTTTCGAATGCCAGTAACCGTTAGATGGTTGTGAAATTTGGCCCCCGTGGCTCCAACAGCAACATGAAATCTCGCCTTAGTTGACACCGTAACGCGAAATCTCAAACTTTCTCCGCAAAAAAATATTTGCCTAGGGAGAACGAATAATTCTCTCCTTCTCTCTTTTTGGCGGGTGAGAGAAGGGGAGGCCCAATCGGTCTCGGCTCACTGGTGCTCTGAATTGGCCGGTCTCAGCCTGGGGAGCCCAATCAATGGCGCCGCACGCCTGCTGCCGCCGTGGCTTCCCGTACGCGCCCGCCAGCACGCCGTAGATCTACCCCCCCCCACCCCCCAAACCCCCCCACTACCCCCCCACCCCTACGCCATGCACCGGGGGGAGCCTCGTCCCCGTCTGGGCCTGATCTGCCCTCACCGAGCCTCTAACCTCCACACTGTCAAACACTTCTTAACCCTGTGATGCCAAATGTATCATATCTGGTTTTACATCTGACACCTTTTGCATAATTTAATGGTAAAAACTTTGCTCAAAATCCTATTGGACACAATCAGATACACCTGATAACAGGGGGCAGAAGACTACACAAAAAAATAATCTTGACTTATCGCACAGTAATAAATTATTAATATTAAACATTTGTTTTTGTTTTTTCTTTTTACATATTTTGTTAAAAAGCCAAATAAAGACTTGAAACCAAAAAAAAGTAATTTTCCAGCTTTAAGGGGTAAGAGGTCAAAACTCTTTTAAGGTTAGGATTTTTGGATGCAGTGAGGCGGAAAATTGTAAAGACAAAAAGAGAAAGAAAGATCATAAGAATGGTCAGAACCCGGTGATATTTGAATGTTTAAAGTACGGTCCAATAAAAAAGAGAAATGTGGCAATTTAAGGCATTGAAAAGCCAAAAGGCAGCAAGTCTGTCCACCTCTGATGCAGCATGGAAAACTTAATGAAACCTGATGATAAACCCACAGAGTGAGTTTAGTTTGACAGATATATAGAAGTTAAGCATCTCTGTGCTTGTTGGGAGGAAATGTTTAAGCATTCCCAAATTCTGGACGAATTCCTTTACCGGTTCTTTATGTGTTCCGCACAGATTTCCGCTCACCACGTGGAAGTTCACGCCCCCCCACAGGTGGGCTTCAGCCATCGGGAATGGGCCCTTTTTTTCCCCGTCTAAAAGAACCCATACGATACGCTGCCGTCCAAAGAGCTGCGGCCTGATAGGATCAAGCCGTGCTCCGACAGAGCCCCGACTGCTCCGATAAAGCCGATACAGATCGGGGGGGGGGGGGGGGGCGGCTGCCACAAACAGCAGCGGAAGATAAAATGCCTGCCATATTCATGGAGGAAGAAATATTCCCTTCAGGTCAATAATAGATAAAGGAAGAACGGGAGGAGGGGGGAAAAAACAAGTGGACTGTTCTAATTCTCAGTCTCCGGTATACGGAGAAAACTTTTCATATCAGACCTTTGGAGGGTGACATTTTGACATTTTCATCTTCCCCGTTACAGTTTTTCCCCTGAAGTCTTTCTGGCACCACAATTTAGAAGCCACTCTTTGACCTGGCTCTTAAGAGACTTCACAGTCTCTGCACATTTTCCACCTGTCACCCTTTTCTTACCCCTTGGTTCCAAAAATAAAGGGTGAGCGAGTGTGAGTGTGAGTCGGAGGAGGAGGAGGAGGGGGGCTCTCTTCCTATCAGCCCCCCCAGTTCAAATCTGGTCAAATCATTCCTGGGCCTGGCATTGAACATTATTTCAAGGATTCTTCAGCCACCTGTCCTATTCCCTCCTCTTTTTCCATTTTTAATTCTGCCCCCGAGTGAGGATTATGCGAAGCAAGGCATGCGTGTCAAAGGGAAATTTAGTGGGTAAAGACAGCCAAGATTGGTGGGATGAATTAAACAGATAACGGGAGGAAGACGAAGTGGGGGAACCATGTAGAGCAAAACGCCTCACTGATGTTGGTCATTTCAGAGGGGCTCTTTTTTTTTTTTTCCCTCTCCCCACAGGAGCGAGGAGGCAATATCTAAATTAATAAAGTGATGAAATGAGTTTGTGCCATGGACTTTCTGCTGTTTGACTTTCCCATCTGGATTAGTGCAGGCTGAATGGACGCTCTGTTACTTTTGTTACAACTACGCAATTCACTGTCGGAATTTGGCCCGGTGGCGATAAGGCTCCCCTCCTCCTCCTCATTACCATCTCATTCCATATGCAGGGCCTCTGTTACCTGAGAGCCTGCTCGCCCACAAAACATGAACTATTACACAAGCTCCTGCTAACTATTACAATGAGCACAGTACGTTTCAACACGGACTATTACATGAGGAGCGGTTAACTATTATGCAGAAGGAACATTTACTCAAAGAGGGACGGCCAGAGCAGGTCAGAAAAAGGCGGGAATTTGTGAACAGGGTTAGGATGGTGCATCCAAATACAAGTATCTGATCCTTTATTGAATAATCTAAATCTTTCATGACATGGATTTGTATTTTTAACCCCAAAATGGAGGCCAAATGGATTTGCTTTCAGTTTCCACCCCCTAAAAAAAGACTGAAAGACTCAACTTGTATTGGTTTTTCTTTGATAATGGTTTGTTGCGTTAGCTGTGAGTGTTTGGTGCTGTTAGAATGCTGCATTGTCATTTGCACAACTGTATCTTGGCTGTTTTCTTATTCAGGTTCCAGCTGGTGAAGGAGAAGTGGGTCCCGGGAGCTGCCCTGAGAACCAGCCCCATTTCAGTCGGTGGCAAAATAACTGTCACCATAACAACAGCATGTTATTTTTACCATCAAATGTAGGACGGGAAAAGCAAAGCCAGATGATGGGCCTTTTTTTTTCGCTTTTCAAACCAAGCTTTTAGCACCTAACAGCCCATTTTACTCCAAACCATGAGCTATAGGTGTTAAAGATTATTTCTGTTTGTTTTTTTTCTAAAAGGGCTTATGATCTTAAGGTTGCTTGTTTTTGGTCATGGGAGTGAATGGAACCTGCTCTGGCTACAGTGTCAGAAAACACAGTATTGGATAAGCTGATGCTCCATGTTTTGAATTCTCTGAATATAATGAAGGCTTATGAAAGGCGCTCATATCACCAGTGCCTGTAAGGGAACATAATGTGGGCATCAGCCATTAATCTAAGAGTGCTTTGTAAGATGTAAACAAGAATATGAATAGCGTTTTCATCTGCAGCTCCGATAAATAGTCTAAATGCAATATGATCTTATTCAGATCACAAGGTTACTGCTATCAAAAGCAGCTTACAAGTAAGACACGTACTGGGGAGATATTGGAGTTCACCTTGTCCACTTATATTTCACTTAAGTGAGAAACCAGCAAACCTTCTAAATTTGGTTTACCGCTCTACTTCCTGAGATACTGCGGCTGTAAAGCTTGTTTTTTTTAACGTACCTTTGTGAAACACACTGTATAGTAATATCCTGTCAGACATGCTTAGATTATTGTACACAACTGTGTTGCACAAAATAGAAATAAAAGTGTTTCATGGCGACACACCACACACATTTTCCATCATCTAAAACAGGCGGTGTCCACGCTTCATACAAAATGCACAAATCCCATTTGTGTATGTTGAAAATAATCTAGATCATTTAAAAGATTTTTGTGGAAACAGTTTATATGCAAACTATTACGAGAAAAATAACCATACGCTCGTTTCCAGGATACTGAAGCGGAGTTGATATATGAATGTTAACAAGTTTAATATCATTACAATGTCTTTATTACTTATTTACTTCTTTGCCTATCACATTGTTGAGGGAATTTACAATCATTCTACTCATAACAGAGCGGACAAACTTTTGGTAATACTGAGGATGAACACAGGGGGGCAGTCTTGCGCCACAGTGCGCAACAATCCCACATTTCTTCTCCAATTCCTGCCTCCCTCCCAGCATCGATACTATGGATTACACTGGGGTAAATACAGAGAGGCTGAGGTAGGCCCGCTTCATTAGTGGAGTGTAACAGCAGTAGTTACGCTTACAGTGGCTCTAATTACAATTAATTGGCATTCCTGACTCATCTGGGAGTGTTAGGATGAGAGGGAGGATCAGGTAGCAGCAGAGTCAGGAGAGGACGGAGAAGATGCTGACATCCTGGAGGGCATTAAAGAACCACAAAGTCGGTCAGAATGAATCCCAAATGGGGGAAGGAAGAGTCTGATCAAACATAACCTAACCATAACCTAAATAACATGCAGAGAATACACATTTTCTAGATAAAATTTGTTTTTTTAACCAATCTGCATAAATTAAATTAAACCCATTGCTACGAAACATGCTTTTTTTGGCGGGAGCTTTTCCTAATGCCTCATCTTACTTTCTAACTCGCACTTTTATTCCCTTTCTCCTTTTTTCTCCCACTGTCCATTTGTCAGAATGAGGCCCATGTCACCGCATGCAGGTGTTACTTAACAATGAAATAAGAGGAGACAAAACACAAGGTTGTTCAGGCGGTACCACTTAATGCCGCTTAAGGTTTTAGCAAACAAAGGTTATTTCTGACATTTAAAATGTCAATAATGGAGGATGCAGAGGTGAGCGATTTCTCCTGAACCTGCAAATCACATCAATAATATCTGTTGGGCTCACTCTGACAGGCCCCGTCTGCGTCTACTTACATGCAATCACAAACATCCAGAGCATGCACGCTTCTTGATATATGGTTAATTCAAGGTAAAA